CGACCGCCTTGCGTTCCCACCATTGGGCTCGCTCATAACGAGCGATCTTTTCTCGAAGCTGCGGTTCGAGAGCCTGAGGGCACGTAGCCCTTCTTTCTATATGTTTTTTATTTGGATCAATCAAGTTGATCCGGTGGTTAACCTCCCTGAACGGAGGTAGGACTTCAGGGGCTGGCGCCATGACGTCTTTGAAACGTTCACGCCACCAATTCCTGAGAGGCACGAATTCAGGGTCTGTCATTGGCAGACCTTCTAAATGGGAACAGTCGGGAAGCCTGAGATCTTTCGACCTCGGGCTTGGCCAGTGATTGGGCCACTGGGAGGTATCCGCGTCTTTTTCAGCGGAGATGGCAAGGATGCGTGGCGAAGGGTTTCCAGCCTTCGCCGTATTGCGTCATGCCGTCTGTTTAGATGACAGTTCGGATCTCGGTGCACGGGGAAGTTTGGGGCGACCGCGTGCAGCAGCCCCCACTGAGGTTTTACCCCGTTCCATCAGGACATCAAACGTTTTGATGTCGCCCGTCTTTATGTGGACGGTGTGAGTTTCGAAATTGAGGCACACTCCGTTGGCATTCAGCCACGGAGCTCCGAGAATGGCGTCGTAGCAGTCAATGTTGACGACGTCAAAATAGTGAGTAGACGTAACCCCGTGAATGGTTACAGGAGTATTCGTGCCGTACATTATGCACGAACGACTGTTTTTGGTCCCCATCTGGAGAACCAAGGGGTTTGGCAACTCGAGCAGTGGAATGTGAACTGCTCGGACAAAATCTGGAGATAGGGCGTCTGTTTCAGCGCCACTATCAAATAGGACAAAGGCGTTTACCCCGGCGATGTTAACCTCGCCGGTGAGCGTCCGCCTTAAGTCGGCGCTGCGGTTTTCAGGGTATTTACCCACCTCTCGCGAGATTCTAAACTTCGCGTCGAATATTGGCGGGATTTTCTTCAGAAGCTTGTTAGGCACTGAAGAACTCGTCACACTTTGCGTTGACGGTTTCCCCAATGAAGATTTGGGGACCGGTATAACACCGTCCCTCTTGTAGGTCTTTACTGCGTCGTCGACAAGCTCAGCTACTATCTGCTCATCAGATGGCAGTTTGTCTGCTTGCCGAGCAGACGCTAATTTAATGGAGAAGTTTTCGTCCGTGGGATCCACGAACGTCATAGCACCGACGAACATGTCGGCGTCCACTTCTACGTACTCCTCCTCCGCCTCAGCGAGGAGGTTGGGATCGTATGGGTCGTCCACGAGTTTATTGTCGAACGCCTCATCGTCGGCCATATAGTCCTGCACCTCTGCAGGATCTTCAACACCTTCCGGTTCTTCTACAGGCTCCGAGTCCTGTAGGTCTCGTTCGTCAGACTCGACCGCTATGTTGTACATGCGCGGTTTGGGCTTGTCGTGATTTGGGCAATCACGTTGATAGCCTATTTTCCCGCATTTAAAACAACGCGGTTTCCCATCCTTGTCCAAGGATGGCGTCGATTTCATCGCTGTAGACGACGTCGATTTCTCTGTTTTTGGAGCCGGTGAATAGCTCGCATGGAAGGTTGAGCGTTGTCCGCTCTTCAGAGCTGACGTGTTTCCCCCGAATGTGTTTTTGTACACTTTCTTGGCGGACGAAGAATCAGCAGCTTTTTTGGGTGCTGCTGCGGCGTTGGCTTGTTTTTGCGTCGTTTTTGACGCGGCTGGCGCTTGCGAGTCGTTACGATACGCAGAGATCGCCTTAATTGAATCGTATGCGTGGTCCAGGCGGAGCACGGCGGTCCACAACTCGTCTTTCGTTGTGTAGTCCACGGAAATGTCGTGGCGCATAACCATCTCCCGACGCATTTCGCCAGGGATGGCGTTCAGGAAACGTTCATTGAACGTTGCCTGGTCAGGAGGCGTGATCATCTCCCCAGCTGCACGATACAGCTGGTTATAGAAGTGTTTGATTCCCTTCGCGGAATCGTATGAAAGCGTTTTGAACGCTTTCGTGGATGCTACTGCTGCAGACTTCTTGATGAAGGTGCAGATAAGGATCTCTAGTAGATCCCAGAATGGGGGGGTTACCCCATTCTGCACTCCAATGCGTATATAGTGCATCAGGAGGTCTTGTGCCTCGCCTTCAATGGCGGTTGTCAAAGTGTGGACGTGAAACTCGTTGTAAGCTTCACCCTTCCACCCACACGACGACATATAGGCTAGCCAGGAGTGCAGCCAGTTGTGGAATATCTTCGAGTTATTCTCTCCAGACCATTTGATGGTCGGAGTCAGTCCCTGCATCTTCTTGAGCAGTTCTGGGCGTACATCTGCAGGCAGTGGCTGCAGGATTCGGACCTCCACACTTCGGCGTGCAGATTCAAGAAGCTGAGTCATGAACTCAGATGGATCAGGCACTACTCGTGCCGCCGGTGCTGCGTATGAACGCATGGTTGAATCAAACAAACCGGGTCGTACAGACGAGCGGTTTGGAAAGTTGGATGAAGGCTCCCATTTTGCTTCGGTGCCAAATAGGTCAGGAAGTGGTGGGTTGGGCCAGGACGAGCCACCCTCGCCACCATCCTTGTCATCACCATCGCCACTCGGACGGCGGGGCCTTCTTCCGGAGTTAGACCTAACTTGGTCTACACGCCTCTTGCCCCCTTCTGGAGCCGCAGGCGGTTGTGAGAATCGGTGGTAGTTATCCAGCACTCGTCTGAGTGCTGTGCCGTGGGACAGTCTTTCGGGGTCTTCACCGTTTGCCCCACGACCCACGTTGTATACGAATGCTGCGTCTGCATCCAGACGGGCGTTAAAGTCAAAAGTAGATTCGCTGAGACTACGCTTAGCGAAGATAGGTCTGACCTTGGCGGGCTGTCCGCCAATGTCATCTACACGATCCTGGACGTAGATCGGGCGTTTTTTTCGTGCGTAGTAATCGTACGGAACACTGGTGGCTTCCGCGTCACCGTCTTCCTCTTGTATCGTCTCCACAGTGGCCTTCATCGGCACTGCTTTCTTTCTCCCGTGGTCGGGAGGGAAATTACGCATTTGAGTAGCGTCAACGCTTGGTATCTTCACCCCACTGTTCGTGGGTTGGGACGACAGAATGAACGGCGTGGGCACGAAGCCTGGCCTGAAATGGAATGGAGAAGTTCCACTCTCCCCTGTAATCGATGATCCAGCCAGTTGTCCTGGGTCGATCTCCCTACCCTTTCCTTTGGCGTCAGTGGTTACTGGTGCCATCGACGGGGTAGGTGGCTTAGTTCCACTAAAGATAGGAACAAAACGTCCGTCAGATTCTTGTACCTCGACAGACGCGCGTGAACTTGTCGCCTCTGTGACGACGGCAGAGACAGTGGGGATCCCTCCAGGTATGGGGACCCCACTGATTGGTTGACCCGTTGGATTAACGGGAACTACAGGGACCTCCTGGGGCGCTTGCGCCTCCACAGCGGGTTTAGTGATTTGTTGACCCGTTTGATTAACGGGGACTACAGGGACCTCTTGGGGCGCTTGCGCCTCAACAGCGGTTTTTTTCGTCTGGTCAGAGACGACGATGGGGTTTCCACCCGTTGTTGGGTTCACTGGAGGGTTTGCAGATGGGTTATCCACCGTTGCTGCGGGTGGCTTTGGCTCGTCGCGTCGAGAGAGCGCGAGGAGAATTTCGTTAAGTTTCTCATTAAGTCTTTCCTCCACCTTAATGATGTTACGATCTAGACGAGCGATGTTGTCGCTATTCCCAGAGATCTGGGTATTCATGTTACGGACATCGCCTCTCAAGTCGGCGATGTCGTCGTCGACTTGGTCGACGCGATTTCTTAGTACTCGCGCCGTTTCAGACGCGAGGGAGTGGGTTGGGGATGGAGGACGCGACGCGCGCATTGGGACGAATGCCACGAGAGTCTCCGCTGCGAGGGCTTCAGACGTTGTGACTTCGTCAACGTCTCTCATATAGGTGGGATGCGTCTGAGACGCGTCCCTGGGCCCTTGCAGGCCCAGATCGCCACCATCACTTGAGGTGGTGTCGTCTTCCGCCCTACGGCTAGTGGAGGGGCCGGCCGTGTTGGCGGGAGCGTTGGACGTGCTCCTGGTGTTGTATCTCCACGACATCCAGAAGAGGTGTCGAGTTGTTCAACAAGTTCGTGTGAGAACTTGATCGAAGTCGCGCGTTGTCAGGGGCCGACGACGCGCATGTTGCCAAATGGGGTTTCGGCGCCGGTAACGCGGTGCCGAGAATGGAAAGAGAATAACAGCGTAAAAAAGTGAAAGGTTATCTTACTAGTTTGGGGACGGTAATGTTCCGTTCCCCCGTTCGCCTCAGGCCTCAGTAATCCGTCTAAGTATACGCTTGATTTGGCTGTATATTGACGGGGTAGAAGTAAAGGCTAATCCGCCTTTTACAGCTACCCCGAGGGTTTATATACAATCTTATACATTCTCGGCACAAATAAATAGAGAAGCTTCCGCGACGCTAAATTAGCGTCGCGACATAATTATTACACAACACAACATCAACTGATGTTGTGGGTGGAATATAGACATGGGCCGGGGCCTCACACAGGGAGATGCTGCAGCTCTGGAACGCTTGCAAGCCTACAATCAATTGCCCCCTCATCGGCCACTTAACGTGCATGGAACACCCCATGGAAGACCCCATGGAAGACCCCATGGAAGGGCCCATGGTCGAGCAGGTCATGTTCGTAGTCAATCTTTACCAGGCCAAGGAGAGCATGGGCTACAACAGGGTCCTAGAGGTGGTATCGCAAGTCGTGCCCAATCACTTGGCCGCCGCTTCCCCTCTCCTCCACCAGCACCACATGCACATGGCCACAATCTCCCTCCATCCCCACTTCGTCCCCCAGTACCCCTTCATCCAGATCATCAGATCGTCCAGCAGTATTGGCTCCCATATAGAGAGGGTCCAAACATACAAACTGCATCAGACAATCTGGGTGAAATGAATGTTCGTTGCCCCTACTGTGGGGCTTTGCACTGGGAGAGGGAGAAACTTGCAAATTCGCGAGTCAATCACCCACGTTTTGGCTCTTGCTGTCTGCAAGGAAAGGTTCGACTCCCTCACCCACTTTCCCCTCCTCCACTACTCCATCGTCTCCTCACAGTCCACTCTCATTCCCCACATGAATCAGATGCATTCAAGATCAAGGCTCGAGAGTTTTGTAAACACATTCGTCGCTATAATGCTGCTCTTGCTTTCGTCTCATGTGGAATACGTGCCCAGGATGGTTTTGTCAATCATATGAACCAGCCAGTCCCAGGTGCTGGGCCATACACCTTTCGAGTCCATGGGCAGTTCTACCATCGCATTGGTTCGCTGCTGCCACAACAAGGGCAACAACCAAAATATGCTCAACTCTATATCTACGATCCCCATGATGATGCAGCAAGATGCCAGATGAACCAATTCCGTATCGATCGAAATGCAGATCAAGACCCACAGCTCATGCTTGATCTGCATGATATGATGGTAGAGCATAACCCTTGGGTACAAGTGTATAGGTAAGCTCTTATCCAAAGAAAATAGGCACTTAATCGATTAATTAAATGTGTAAAACAGAAACGGCCATGAGCGAATGCAGCATACTCCTCCCGATCAGCATGACCTCCCTTTACGCATTCATATCGACATCCAGCAAGACCAATGGTGCTATAATGCTCCTGTCGTGGATGAGATTGCAGCCATCATTCCTGGAGACGGTACAGATGTGGACAACACCCGCGACATCATTTTACATCGAGTCAGTGGCCCACTTCAGCACTGTAGGGAAAGTTCTGAGGACATCATCAACAACTAAAGAATGACCTCACATGCATGGACACTTGACCCTTGTATGATAGCAAGTTGGAATGGGAGGAAAGAGTAATTGAAGGAGTCAATCAAGGTTGTGTGTATCACTTGGATTCGACACCATGTTGAAGGTCATGTGACAAGTTAAACACTTTAACTGGTAAGGTGACCACACTTCAGCCTCAGTCTTAGCACAAGTTTCCCTGTGCACAGACATTCACCAGATGTTCCCATGGCTGTGGAACAAGGGAGATCCGACATGCATTACATTTTTATGACATTTTTTTTGGACTGTTTATGTTAAAACATACTTTGAAGAACATTTCCTCACATTCTTACACTATATGGATTATATGAACCTATGAACAACTACCTAGAAATATTTTCTAGACAGAACTATATGACACCCTGACTGAGTCATTTCTGATGGAGTCATTTCCAGCTGAGTCATTTTTGACCAAGTCACTTTGGTTGAGTCATAATATGGTTGAGTCATTTCTTGAAAAAAGAAATGCACAGCCTGAAACCAATTCAGACTGAGTCATACACAGCCCCATCACATCTAACCAAGTCATTTTGGTTGAGTCATATCTGACTAAGTCATCTGGGCAAGTCATTAGGGCTTTCTAGAACAAAAGCTTGTAAATACTCTATTGCATGTAAATAGTGCAAAGCGTGGGAAAGAAAGGTCTTGAAAGGTATAAAAGGACCATGATTTCGCTCACTTTGCAGCCCCTCAGAGAAGTAAGAAAATAGAGTAATATTTCTCTCAAGCACTTCTGGTTCTCACTCCAGTGCGAAAAAGTGATAAGACAGTTAAGTTTGCCACTGTACAAAAGGCAACAACAGTGTGATAAGTGAGATAGGAGATTTATAGGCGTCTAAGTAAGACACTTAGAAGCAGTTTGTTACTACTGAACAAAAAGTGACAGTGTGAAGGGAGAAAATAGTAGTATCTCTCCACACATAGGAGTAATCACTTCCTAAACTAAAAAGTGGTAGAATTAGGTGAATTCTGACTGAGAGCTGAACAGACCAGAGTCGGCTCAGACAGACAGAATTATTTGAACAGCTCCGCAGGGTGTTTGATTGTTTGATTTTTCTATAGCATACTAAACTGTTGAAAAAGCAACCAAAACACTAACACAGCACCGTACTCAACAGGTACACTCCCCCACAACCAGGAACAGGGAAAACTGCACTCTCAGTTCCGCTCCTTCAGCGCATTTCTGAGATTCATCCTGCCTACACTCCACTCCATTATGTCCTTCTTTTTCCATATGGAGAGTTTGGTTGGCATGTGGGGATTCCCTTCCACAATGCCCAAACTGCAGATGAAGATCATGATGGGGAGCGCAACGATGACAACGATGATGAGGAACCAGGCGTTGCTGTAGTGCAGAGGAGGAAGGTCTCCCGAGTATCTCACACCCGATTCCATGCATACCGTCTATTCAAATGTGAGATCCAAAATCAGAATGGTCAGTGGGCCTCAGACTCAAGCCTTCTTTTGCATGGTGGTATGTAATTCTAAAACCATATATATATGATTGCTTCACTCACATCTTATTTTAGGCCACTTATTCCTGCAGTATTTGGTAGATCACTGGGCTGCAAACGAGCAGATGCGACTTAATTGGGTCAGGGCAAATCAAAAGGCCATTCGTGCTGAATGCTACCAAGGTCTTATCGATGCTGCTCACAGCAATCGAGACCCTGCTGAAGTTGGCCAGAGACATCCTTCCTTCCTCCCATCCTGGCAGTACTCGCAACATGCTCCAACTCTTCCAGGATTCTATGGCTATCACACGCTTCTTTGGATTTGCATCCTACTTTGTCACTGTCACTGCTAATCCACAATGGCCAGAGGTTCAAGCTGCTCTTGAACCTGGCCAGCAAGCTTCTGACAGACCTGACATTGTTTGTCGAGTCTTCTATCAGAAGTTACGTGCATTCATCAAAGATCTTTACAAAGACCCTCTCTTTGGCAAGACCATTGCACATGTCCACGTCATCGAATTCCAGAAGCGTGGCCTCCCTCATGCTCACATCCTCATTTGGGTCAAAAATGAGCATCAGCCAAGGGTTGGAGATGACACCGATGCCGTCATCAGGGCTGAAATCCCTGATCCACAGACAGAGCCTGCCTTATATGCATTGGTCGTCCAGTGCATGATCCATGTCTGTGATCCCAAGCGGTGCCTTGATGACCATGGTCATTGCAAGAAAGGTTTTCCCAAAGCCTTTACTAATTCTACAACCATGGATGAAAGGGGTTACCCAACCTATCGCCATCGAGACAATGGAAGGATAGTCGAGAAGGCTGGCAAACAACTCAACAACAGGCATGTAGTCCCTTACAACCCCCATCTCTTACTCCGTTTGGGATGCCATGTCAATGTAGAGTTTTGTGCAAACATGTATGCAGGTGAGTTATAATATCCTTTTCAGCTATATATTATATGTGAATGCTAAATTTCCCTACTAAAAGCAACCAAGTACATCCACAAGTACATTGCAAAGGGTCCAGACCGTGCCACTGTCATGTTTAATGGCCCAGATGAAGTCAAGATCTACTTGGACACTCGGTGGATTGGTGCATGTGAGGCATTCTGGCGCTTTATGGAGTATGAGCTTCATGTCCACAAGCCCAACATCATCCGCCTCCCTGTGCATGAGGAGAATATGCAGCATATCGTCTTCCACGAAGAAGATAATGTTGAGGAGATTCTGAATCAGAATCAGCAGACAAAACTCACTGCCTACTTTGCAGTAAGTCTTTACATTTTTCAGTCCACCATCAATCTCTAATCTTTTGATCAAAGGCCAATTCTGATCCACTCATTCAAGGTTTTTCAAGGCAATTTCTGTACCAAGAATTCCCACAGCACTATGCATGGATGCAGAAAGAAAAGGCTTGGAAACTGCATACTCGACCCTTCTTTGCTATTGGTCGTATGTATGCAGCTGCACCAGCATCAGGCGAGCGCTTCTACCTTAGACTCCTCCTTACAGCTGTTCGAGGGGCTACAGGCTTTGAAAGTCTCAGGACCGTTGATCATGTTGTTCATCCAACCTTTTGCCAAGCCTGCATTGCCCTTGGACTGCTTGAGGATGGTGAATGGCATCTTTGCCTGGGAGAAGCTGCTAACCTTCAGACTGGATGGACCCTTCACCAACTCTTTGCTTCCATCCTCCTTCACTGTCTTCCCACTCAGCCTGAAGCTCTGTGGAATGACTTCCGTGCCAGCATCTGTGATGACCTGGAAAGAACTCTGATTTGGAGGGGGTTGCGCCAAGCACCAACCCAAGAAGAGGTCTATGACTATGGCCTACACCTGATTGAACAGCTGATACATCAAGGTGGAAAAAACATGGCTCAAATCTGTCCCTCTATGCCATGTTCAGAGATTGACTGGGATGGGATTGTGGGAAATCCACTCTTGGCTCAGCACAGACGCTATGACCATAACTTGCTGCACCAGGAGGTCCATGATGCACTTCCATTGCTCAACGTCGAGCAGCGATTGGCATACAATACCATTCTTGAGGCATTTAGGAATGGGAGGGGAGGTGTCTTCTTCATCCATGGGCCTGGAGGCACAGGCAAGACATTCCTCTACAACCTCCTTGCCAAGACTATTTGCAGCAGTGGTGAAATTGTCTTTTGCAGTGCCTCATCTGGGGTGGCATCCATTCTTCTCCATGATCAGAGACCAGACTCGAGACGAAGGAATGTCTCCATAATGGAGGGCTTTGGCCTCAGCGACTTCTGCCAAGAGCGCTGTGCCTAGTGACACGTCTGTGCCCTAACTTACTGACTGGCACTTAGAACCTAGGGGGGTAACTCTAGTTGATTTTTCTACTGGGGCGTAACCTATGTACAAGTGGGATATATATATGGTTACAGCGGAGACGGTTCCGCAATTGGGGGAGCTGAACGGAGCGGAGCTAACAGGGTTTAGACATTAGCCGACTGAATATTACCGACGAGTCGGTTCACGGGGTTAGCGGAAAGGCAGGCGATAACCCAGAAACGGAAAGGAGGGATAGGCCCAAAGGTGGGCTCTGCAGGGCAGGCGAGTGTATTGCCCAGCGGAGGCAGGGGTGCGCTAGCGGACGTCGGAGCTGTCCGGAAGTCTTCAGGGCTCCGTACTTAGGGAGGCGTAGGTAATAAATTGAAATGAGGGGGTGGTGACCATCGAGGGGCGCCGAGAGGATTGCGGAATACGGGGGCTCCGAGGTTAGTGAGGGAGGAGCGGAGTTGGAACGGAGGGATCGGAGGGACCGGAAGTCGATGGCCGGGGATGGATATGACAGCGCTGTAGGAGAAATAACGGCCACACTATGGAAACCCATTATGGAAATATGCCAGATAAATCACAAAACCTCATACGACAAGTAGATATGAGAACATAGAAGGACCTGAATTTTAACGAATTTTACGAATTTTTACGAATTATTATGACTATACACGATAAATCGAAAGAAAGAAAAATAACAAAAATACTTCAAGCTTACCATCAACGAGACGGAATTCTCGGGGGAATTTATAGCAAATATTAAACCAAGAATTAGGACAATCGACCAAGATTTGACTATAAAAATAATCAGAGAACCTCCATGGAAACTACTTTCCCACGTCCGCACACGTAGCCAAGGATGGAAGTACCACGGAACAAAGATTCCTCAGGAACTAATGCAAAATTCAAAGTCGTGTTTATAATAGGAAATGTAGATGTTCCCCAAACGGAACCAATGAGAGTAATTACAGGGGAAACTACCCATAAATGACGGAGATATGACTAAAACTCCTGCAAAAGGAGGACAATGTCTAAAAGGCAAGTGCGAAGATTAACCAGTAACGACCGAGACAAGCTTGATGGCCCATTAGAAAGGAAGGGATCTAATCTTAAACCTCCCAAATTTTCATAATAAAAGGATCATGCGTTAATGAGATATCCAATAACGGGAATAGCGACATCAAAAGTCCGAGCTCAGGGACAAGACGATGTTTGCGTAGGATCCATAATTAAAACATACAACGAAATTTACACAGAAATTATTAAAAATGGGAAACTATAGTTATGCAAATTCTCAGCCCAAACGGTCCAGCCGTTGTGAAGTTATACCCATGACGGGAATATAGGAATCCGCATCATGTATAATGACACGTGAGGGTGGCGATGCGCAGGGAACTGGCCGTCGGAACCGAGATCCGCACTTCGGCAGATCGCGAAGACCAATTTCCGTTCAAATAAGGAAGAGCCCGGTCGAAACAAAGCACGAAAAGTGCAAAACAACCTTAGATCATGAGGGAAAAATCTGAAATAAATCACAGAAGCCCATATGAAAGAAATAAACACCTGCGCATATCATAAATCCCGAACAACTAAACGAAAACGGCTCCCGCATACGAACGACTATGGGAACGACGCACATGATTACCGAATGTGCGCGCGAAACTTTGCTAACTCAACGAATACAGGGAAATAGGACACAACCTTAGTACCATTGGAAAGGTGGGAATAAATGAAAATTTATGATACCAAGAACGTGAGAAAACATCCAGAAATGAATGAGATACAAGGACATGAAGTTAGAAACCTGAAAACACGCGGGAAGACAGCTTCAAGAGGTCTAGAGCCCTAAATAAAATACATAAAAATATGATATCTTCGAGGACGACCTACTATAACAACAAACAATACATATGGAGGATTAGGATGTGATAATACAAAGGGGAATCAGGGAATATGAACGAAATTCACGAAAACTACTAAACTACGACGGACCATGGCGGGAATTTTAGGGAACGATGTTCTAATGAAGTAGAGAGCTATAACACATTCGTTTGAGTAATTCTTGATTACTAGCAACTTTTTCTTTCAGTTTTAAACCTGAATAATTCACTCATTTATCATTTCAGTCTCATTTTAACTAAATGTCACTAAATAAAATTGGAATAAATCAGCTGAAGGTCTCAGCGCAGTTGCACGCATAGTAATGCGAGGTTTGAATTCAGTATGACCGAGTCATAGCGAACTTAATGGGAAATATGGGGAATTTGAAATAGGGAACTGCGGCAAATGCGGCGCAGACAAATTCTAATTAACCATTAAAATAGCTTAGGCGAGGAAGGACAATAAGGATTCCAGGCACAGTCTGACCGCAGTAGAGCCGCAGTTCAGCGCAGCAAAGCGCAGTGGAACTATAGCATGAAAATTTCACTTTTTATTCAGTTTGAGAAAAATACACTGTAAATAAATCCTGTAAATA